ATARWKRATGKATGGATGGATGGATGGACAGTAACAAACTTTCATCGCAGTGCTCAATGTTCCAACTCCTGTCTCGTTGCAGGGGCATGCCTTTGACTGGCAGACTTTTAGACCTGAACACGGGAGCTGTTTAACCAATAGGAAAATTCAACTGCAGTTGCCACCATTCAACCCATARAGGGTAGACCTAAGAGGGTTTTAAACCAAATATTGCAGAAATTTACTCAAAAATGTCAAAATTTGCACATAAAGGATACACCTAAGACTCAATTTAGACAGTCTATCTGCAGAAAATGTTGATTTTAGGGTTTAGTTACTCTTTAGAAAAAAAAAAAACAGCTATAACTCTGCCCACCCTCTTGTAATGACTTTGACTATGRTGTTTTGTAATGCTGAGATGACTAAAAAGCAATTTTTGAAGGTAGTTTTACTTTAGATAAATTGCAAAAATTATGAGAACTTGCAAACATTCATTCTTATCGCTACAAAAATGAACGCTGCAAGCTTCCTGTACGGCTTGGTCTCTATACATCTTAATGTGAGTATAGGGGTAGACGCAAAGGGGTCTATTTCAGMTGGCAAAATTGTACAATAAGCAATTTGCCTTTTGTTGTGAGTGAAAGGATTATTTATCAAAGCAATGGTTTATGGTCCAATAACTAACAAAGCTCTTTGTTTTGTTTGGCAGCAAAAGATTAATGAAAAGACTGAAGTGACATTTTCAGCAGGAAAGACATTGWTCCAAAGGCTTTCTGAAGATTCTCATTGTCCTGTTTACCCTGCAAACATTGGACGACAGGGAGGAAATAGGTATGTTATCTACACATGTGCACAGAGACTGTTTAAATACATACTTGCTAATCTATTTGSGAAATTTTGAGCATGCCCTATCTTCTGTATTTGTTAATCAAGAGTTCCTGTAGCTGAAAAAAAATTGTATTCTTATTGGTTCTCTTTAAAAATTGTCTGGGGCCTACAAACATAATTTGTTGTTATCATACYAAAGACAATAGGGACCTTAAGTATTTATTTTTGATATCAAACCCTTTAAAGCCATTTGGTTTGTCAACCTACAGTGTGAGTTAAAATGAGTGAGGAAACTTGTATTGAAAGGATTTTAACGAACCAACTGTTTCAGTTCAATGGGGATTTGATAGAATAAAGATGCTGACTGGAGCTCATTGCCAGCGTCAACAAACTTCTTGGCTTTAAACTTTATAAAATTCCAAAAACTGCTTTAATTTTATTAGCATTACTTCATTTTCCATTTCTAATKTGGGTGTTGTGAAAACTTTGCTTTTGCTATTTTGGTGTTTGATCTCTAGTTTCAAATATTTGAATTTGATAAAACAGATGCTAAGGTTATAATATTAGGTAACTCTGTTTTTARTTTTATCCATAATGGCATTTTATTGGTAATGTCATATTCCCTGTCAGTATAACTTAATCAAAACCAAACAATCAAATTGCTAATCATTTTGATCAAATTTTTTTTTTCTTCTTTCGTGTCACTGAAGCCTCTTTCGCAAAACCTGTCAAGTATGGCCTGAAACCCATGACTGCCATTTCAGTGTAATTTCTGAAAGAACTAAAGGACACTCTTAAACAAGTCATAAAACATATCTCACTGGTGTGATTTGAGTCTTTTTCACATGAATTATTTGTACTTGAAGGGAAACAGCAAGCACACGTCACTCGCAAACAGAAATAAGCACCGGTCATGGTTGGATGAGTGGATATATGGTTTTAGTTGTTTAGTTGTTTAGTTAGTTCAAGTAGTTGGAGGAGGAAGGTCTGGTGTTTCTGTTGTTAACTAGTTTGTAAGAGAGACCAGCACCATTTCTGACTGATAGTGTGGGAACATTTCTTCATGCTGTCAGGCCGTGGTGATATTTTAGTTTTTCTGAGGTGAAATATTATTTTGCTCTTTCAGGACGATGACATATTTAAAAAATAATTATTTTAAAACCTAAAAAAATCRAAGGCTGTTTGGGTGAGCTGTAAGTTTTTGTGAAGGGATGGAAATTAACTATTTTGAATCCATTTTTAAGTGTAATTRATGCATTTCTTGTTGGTTACATGTGTAAWTGAACACAAGAAAATCTTGCAGAAYTTTTCTGCTCAGTCAAAGAAAAAATAATCRGACATAAAGACTGTCAAACCCCTCAAATCCAGGTTAAAATCTCTTTGGCYGCTGAAGTTCACATTAACACAACCCAGTGCCATCTGATTACCAAGCCTAATGTGAGTTAATGGGTTTTCACTGTTGCTTCACCAATCAAAATAATGTCATTATAGAGGAATGGTGGTTGTGTTCAGCAGTAAATTCAAAACATGGGAAGAAATGAAGACAAGGTGGGGTATTTTATTGTCCCCAAGTGGCCAGTATGATCCAGTCATTATCAGGGTGTGGCTTATAATCTGGGAAATCTGCCCCCACAAAGACCCCTCCTTGCTGTATTGGCTTTTTWGTGTGGGAAACTCAAAAAGCACATCAATAATAAGGATGAAAATGTGCATWAACATTATAAAGACTACTGTTTYTGTYAGAACTTTGTGCTGTGTGAAATAAYGGGATGTGGGTGAMATGCTTTTTGTGCTAGCACAGTACTTTTGCTGAAGCAGCTAATAATGTGTGCTTTTCTGTGTTTATTTGTACTTTTRGCTAGCTCACCAGTTATTGCTTTTGAAGTTGTTAATTAAACTCTCAACCATCTGGTAGCTCAATGAAATTACACTGAGCTTCTCAGCCATGGGAAAAAAACATGACTGAGTAAATGAATAAATAGATTAATAATTTAATAAATGCTTCAAAGATCTCTTGTCTACATGACAAAAAAATAAAACAAGAAGTCTTATTAATGTAAATTTAGCAGCACTTTGTGCTGTCACCCCCCAACCCCTTCAGCGTGTTTATGTGAAGCTGGCATGCTTTTGAGGTGTGTGTGTGTGTGTGTGTGTGTGTGTGTGTGTGTGTGTTCTCATGGGGACTTACAAGTGATTCACAGACAGCTGTCTTTGTGTCAACCTTTGGTTCCTTTTGACGTCTTCTTTTTCTTCACACAGTATTCTTTACGCTGTTTCCTTTCTGTCACGCACTGAACACTTTCAGGCATAGTAGAAAAAACAGATTTTGTTTTCAATTTTTGTCTGGATTGGTTAGGGAAGGGGGAAGGGTTTGTTTCAAGTAGTGAAAATGGTATACAATGTTTTCTTTGTCAACCTGCTGCTGAATRCACCCTGCTACACCTAAAACAAGCCTCAGTGTAACATATTGAGCCAAATGTTTTTTTGTAGTTATTGATGCCCTTTACTCTGAARTGGTGTAAATAAAGTTTTGCAATCCAGTCCTCAGGAATTGAAGGCGGTAGCAAGAGATGTAAAAGTATGCTTCTCTGGAGATGGTGGWTAGATGGGCTGATGTAAGATGGATGTTTACAATAAAGTTGACAGAAAGAAATTCATCTATTTTATCTATACTCGCTTCTTCCTTTCAGGGTCACTGGTGCCCATATCCAGCAGTCACTGTGCGAGGGRCGGGGTACACCCTGGACAGGTTACAAGTYCATCCCAGGGACACACATGGAGACAAATGAGACAGACAACACTTCACTCTCTCACTCACACCTAGGGACAATTTAGAGTGACAGATTAACCTAACAGTCATGTTTTTGGTCTGTGGGAGGAAGCTGGAGTGCCCGGAGAGAACCCACTCATGCATGAAGAGAGCTCTACCCAGAAAGGTCCCGGGGCTGGGATTTGATCCAATGACCTTGCTGAGAGACCTATCAACTGCCCTATCAACTGACCTGGTCAAATAAAAAGGTCACCATCTGGATTTAACTAAGCAAATAGGTAAGGGCTTCCCATAATTACTACATAGGTGATTGTTTCATCTGAYAAGTTATTTAATCCTAACTGCTGCAGTTAGTAGCTTCTTGTTTGTCAACCAGTCTGTATGTCAGAACAGTTTTATTTGAAAGAGTCCAAATTGTGCTGTAAGACAAACATTTTAGGAAAGTAAACATTTCTCTTAGCTGATCATTAAATAAATGACCTTTTAATTATAGCTTTTTCTTTAACTTTACAGTAGTTTGTAAAAAATGGGACTGCAAACAGCAAAATGCAGCTGCTGACATTTTGTTTCACCTTTTCCTGTTTAAACTAGGGGTGTAAGAAAGTATTGATACACTGAAATATTGTGATGTTTAATGTCTTGATACTGTATCAATTTTTTAAAAATACTGTATTGATTTTTAGTTAGGGTTTAAAATGTAAACTTTCATGCCAGYGTTTAMTTTTTGTGTTGTAATTTAGCCTCCGACTACTAGTTGGCAGCAGTCGGCCAGCCATTTCCACTCCTAAAGATAACGGTAGCTCAAACATTAGCTATACATGTCAATTTGTACAGGTTGTCTGTAATTGACTTGGATTATCCATCATTTTGCAGGTATACAGGTATATAGGGCAATCTCCCAGACTTTATTTTTCAAGTTTCACAGATTTTATAAAAAAAAATTCTCAGCTTCAAATTTATTTTCCGTCTCAGAGCCTGTAGGATGTTAAAACAATAAATAAGATGAAAGAACCATCTTTCAACCCGCTCTGTTGCTAAAAATAGAAATATGTTATCCACTTCTCTGCGCCCTCCTTTCCTCCTCCTTTGCCCTGCACACCTCCCCCACAGGTAAACGCCCAAATGGGGTTGATGCTTATGGTTAGCATTGTGGGTAAACATTAGCACTAAGTACCAAGGCTAAATCTGAGTTGATTAGACTGACACCTGCTGCCTTCAAAGCTGAGGTAGGGTTGATTAGCCAATATGCCTCTATTTTAAGCCAGTCAGCCATCACAGGAAGACAGGTAAGCATTTATCTAGCACCCAGGGTGGAAGGGGGTCCCTGAGGGATGATACTGAAGTGTCCAAATGCAAAGACCATATGAAACAATGAGGGCATTGAAATGACTGGCGTTCTTGCACTCCCCCCTTAATGTGCCTCAGGACAGTTTGTTTATTTATTTATTTTTTTAATTTTGGTGAACAAATAGCAATATATCACAATATATCCCTTTGTTTGTAGTATCACAATACATCCCGATGTCTTATCTTGACC